GACCACCTGTCAATTGTTTTTAATATTTTGTTCCTTCACAAGCTTCAGCTCGCGCTCAACAGAGTCGGGCTCGTTCCTCAGATTTCTGATTTCTTCATCTTTTAGGGAAATCTGCTCGGACCGTTCCAGAATGCGAGTTTGGAGGCTTTCGATTTTAGTCAAAACCTGACAAGAGACAAGACATTCATTTTTTTAAGTCATAGCATTTTATACAATAAACGCAATGAAGTGAGATTTACTCAGACTAGTAAAGAGCAAAAATTAAGATTTAAAAGTAAAATTTAAATTGAAGAGCAATCCATCTCACAAATGGACTTTAAAAAAAATGTACATCAATTATTATTTAATGGTTTATAGAACTAGATTTAAAAAATTGTGAGTTAAAGGTTTTAAATGTTCATTCATTTTAAATGTAATAAAACAAATGAATGTCACTTAAATTTACAGTTAATTTTGTTTCATCAAATAAAACAGATTAAAACCTTGTTTTAAAATGTAAATTAAATAAACAAAACAAAATCAATAAAACCATTATGTTTTACGATGACGCATTGCTGCCACAGACATATTTTTTCCCCTCAATTATGTCGTCATAACGAGATCTTATGCCGTTAAAAGACATATTTTCTCGTTTTATTGACATATCTCGTTTTAACGACATAATCTCATTTTAACCACATAAATATCTCGTTTTAATTACATAAATATCTCGTTATTGACATAATTGAGGGGAAATAATAATATGTATGTGGCAGCAATGCATCACCGTAGTATTTAACTAGATTTTAAAACGAGTTAAACAGTGTGAAAGGTACATTTAATACTAATTAACTGTTTTATTAAATTGATACGTAACTTTATTTACCCTGCAAACAAGGGACGTCCCCCGGACTTTTCAAACGTCCGCTTAGGTCCGCTTTGTAACGTTCCCTAGTCCCTTTGTAACTTGGTCCCCTTTGTAACGTTCGCGGACGGACATTCCGATGACGTTCGTGTCACAGGTCGAGGGGAGGAACGCTCGGGTGACCAACCACCCCCCCTCTAACTGAGTCACCACCGTGAGGAGCCGACACCACAGGCACACAACAGAGGACCCGGAGACAGAGATAAGTTTCAAAGGAGTAACAATCTTTATTAAACCAAGGGTTTCTCACAGTTTAAGATACTCTCGTTGATGCACGAAAATGGAGCAGGGGGTTGCAGGTTACTTCTCCCCAGCGGTGCTGCAGACTTCCAGACTCACGAGTAAGTATGACAGGTAAGGAATCTTCACGGTACAAGGTACTCTCGTTGGTGCACGATAATAAAGCAGTGAATTAAAAGCTTACTTTTCCCCCAGCGGTGCTGCAGACTTCCAGACTCAGACAGTAAGTATGGCGGGTAAGGATTCTTCACAGTACAGGGTACTCTCGTTGGTGCACGGTAATGAAGCAGTGAATTAAAAGCTTACTTTTCCCCCAGCGGTGCTGCAGACTTCCAGACTCAGACAGTAAGTATGGCAGGTAAGGATTCTTCACAGTACAGAGTACTCTCGTTGGTGCACGATAATAAAGCAGTGAATTAAAAGCTTACTTTTCCCCCAGCGGTGCTGCAGACTTCCAGACTCAGACGGTAAGTATGGCAGGTAAGGATTCTTCACAGAACAGGGTACTCTCGTTGGTGCACGATAATAAAGCAGTGAATTAAAAGCTTACTTTTCCCCCAGCGGTGCTGCAGACTTCCAGACTCAGACAGTAAGTATGGCGGGTAAGGATTCTTCACAGTACAGAGTACTCTCGTTGGTGCACGGTAATGAAGCAGTGGATTAAAAGCTTACTTTTCCCCCAGCGGTGCTGCAGACTTCCAGACTCATACAATAAGTATGGCAGGTAAGGATTCTTCACAGTACAGGGTACTCTCTCTCTCTCTTCAGTTCACAGTAGGGCGACAGTGGATTAAACGATTACTTTACCAGCGATGCTGTATACTTCTGGGCTCAAACAGTAAGTAGAACAGGTGAAGACATTCACAGTACACAGTACTCTCTCTTCAGTTCACTACTCTGGGCTTCTGACGGGGGCAGATATAATATCCTTCCACGAACGTGTAAGCATGGATAGGGCTACTTCTCAGCAAAGACACATCACACTCGTGTTCACTTCAATTCCACAGCCAAAAATCAATGTGTATTAATAAGGCAAAAGCACTGCAATTCACTCACACGATAGGGCTGATCAGAGGCCTCGCTCTGTTTGTTGTGCTCACTTTACATGGGGTTTCACTTTCAATTCCTCCTCCACACACTCTGAAACACATAGCTCCTCCAACAGTCAGATCCACACTCACTGTATCCTCTTCAAGCGGTTTAAATGTTCATAAGATAAAATCAGTTCACTTATCTTTGCTCTCTCCTTTCCCAGCACAGATCCAGTCGATAGCTCAGTCCAGCAGTCTTCCTACAAACGATCACTCTGTTCCAGCAAGCTTAAATGGGCGTCTCTCCCTTTCCCCTTCCCCTTCCCCTTCCCCTTCCCCTTCCCCTTCCCCTTCCCCTTCCCCTTTCCTGTCAGTGGGTCCTCCATCTGAGCCTCCTCCATCTGAGCCCCCCGTCTGTGTCTCCCCCGTCTGAGCCTTTTTTCTCCCTTCTGTCTGTCTCCTTTTATCTCGTTTATCTTGACTCATCAAACAGGAAACCTGTGTGAGTGCCGCTCCTCTCTCTCTCGCACCTGCAGTGCATTAGCGCTAATCAGTGCGGGCATGATTCCATCACACCCGGAACCGTAGTGGAGTGTTGCACCCAATACGTTCCCCTAGGAAACTCAGGACTCTTAAGAAGGTTCCGTTTAGTGAGCGATTTTTGTCACCCGTGACATTCGCATTTGGTCCATTCTATAACGTTCGCTGACGGACGTTCTGAGGACATTTCTCCGGGCCAGTTTGCGAACGTCCCTATTTCGTCCCTCACGCATTTCCATGACAACACTTGCAAAATCAGGTCGCCCATGTTTGCTATCATCAAATAAAACTTTACAACTCAGACACGAATAATTAAACTAAAATATAAATGCAAATATTTGCATTGATTGTAAAATTAAGTTAATGCTAAAATGTTAGTGTGTTAATAAGATAATTTATGTTACTTCATGTAAATTCTAATCACTAATTAAAGATGTAATAATACCACGAGTTTTCAACTGTTATAATTTAAATATCAAAAACATGTCAATTTGATTCAATTGAATATGAGCTACAATTTATAAAGGATATTCCACATGCACGAAGAGGTTGAATCCCAGGAGCTCTAAAAGAATGCATCGACTTCAAATGATGAATGCAGCCGAGGAAAACGTGAAGAATGAAAAATTGCTGGAAAGTGGATAATAACACAGGTAAGACAAATAAAAGTATCCTAAACATTTAGCCTAACGTTACCTGTCAAACGTTGGTCAGGAGAAGGTGACTGGTTTTATTAAAAATAATTTATTTTAGGAAAAATATTGTTCTAATTATTGCACTTAAGACTGATGGCCCATGCAGAACAAAAAAAAAAAAAAAAAAAAAAACATTGGAGAAACAAGCGAGTGACGATCAAATCATAGGATCAAATGCGCCTAAGCGAGTGACGTCATTCCTTATGTACGCGGTTTGTATCACAGTCTATGGTTTGTATCCATGGAAACGCTCTGGGTAGCGTAGTGACAGTTAACGGTCCTTCTCAGACGCAGCATTGTGTTTCCTCTGTCCGTCGTCTGTCTAAAAGGTATTTCTAATTATATTATTATAAATTAGTCACCATAACCTCTGTCCATCTTTAAATTATATGAAAATGTTACCTTTTAAACGTTTGCTGAAGTTGTCCGCAAGTACCGCTGCACCGTTATATGCTAATACTACGAGTAGCTACGAAGCTAACAGCTGAAAATGAGACAACGTTTCACATATTGATAAAATCATAACTGAATATGTTCATTTTGTTGTTTTAGGTAACGTTAGACGTTAAAGGGGGAGAATTGCCATCGGATTAATCCCACAGCTGAGCTGACCGACAAACACACACACACACAGAAACAAACATCAATATTTCTCAAAATACGACTTTCTTCTTACCTTTATGAGCAGAATTTATGAGTTTTCTCGCTGCTAAAGCACACGTAGGCTACACGACATGTTTCAGAATTGTTTTTTTTTTTTTTTTTTTTTTTTTGACGAACTGAATCGGTTGATTTTGAGGAGGGCTGTGTAGGTTAGCGCTAGCTGAGAGCTAACTTAACCCACTGAAAGCCATTCAATATAGGCCCAACAATAATAAATGACTTAAACAGAATATGTGAATTAAATAAAAATCAATCAAACATATTAATATACGAAATACGTTATTTTGGAAGCAACCCCATAGCTCCTCTCATGAATATGGTTAAATACTTGCTAACTACATTATTTATTCATACACACTACTATCATTACATACAGAGAAACTAACTTACATTACATATATATAAGTAATGTAAGTTAGTTTCTCTACTTTTATTTTAACATTTGATGTATATTGTTTGTCATATGCCAATAAACTAAAAGAAAAGCAGACTTCAGTTTGTCACCAGCGCAGAGAAAGCCAGTAGCTTGAATACACAGTAAAAACTGAAGTGTTAATTTAACTCCTATAGAGTTGAAATTGACTCCGTTTCAGATAACATTTGGTCCCGCTCAAAATCAGTGTAAAATTAACTCATTGGTCAGTGTTAAGTTTTTAGAGTTAATTCTACTCAATATTGTGTAAAAAATAACAATGAAATGTGTAAATGTATTTAACACTGTAGTTTAATTGCACTGTTAAGAGTAATATGATCACACTGTAGAGTTAATTTAACTACAATTTTCCTTTAAAAAAATGACACTTTAAGTGTAATATTTACTTTTCATTTCTCAGTGATTTAAAAAATTATAAATCATAAGATGCAGTGTTACTGAATTATAGAACTATCAACTACTGTACAATCAAATGAAAACAAGCACAATCAAACTAGATCACAGCACTCACCATTTATTTTAACAAAAAAAAGAAAGCATTACAATGTCAGTGAAATTACATTGCAAACCCATTGCCTTGTCTCTGACAGAAACATATCTTCATCATAAAAATGTTTACCAGAGAAAGCAATATGGCACGATGAGGAGAGTTGTGTCATTCCCTCCATATGACATTTGTATGTCAAAAGGCCTAGGGTAATGCAGGTTGTCGACATGAAAAAAAACATAATCCTGCTTTGATTTGATCACCTCATAAGCATGGAAATGTTCTTGAAAAGTTACTGTAACTAAAGGCACTGTGAGTAGCAACAGTTTTTCAAACATTATCAGAACTGACTCAATCTGATAAAACACGGGGACTTCAGATTCAACTTTCCCACAGATAACCAAGTTTGGTCGATAAACAAACCCATTATGTTTAGCCCAATTAACCTTCATAACCTGAATGCTAATGGGCACTTGCATTGCCATAGCAATTCCAGAACCTCCTTTTACCATATTTAAAGACACCATTTTTCCTGGACCAATGTCAAACCGACTAAAAGTTGTTGAATTTCGCCAACTATGTGCCATATGAAACTGATGCTTTTTTGCAAGCGTTTTGGTAATATTTTTAAACGATTTAAGCTGTTTTTTGAAAAAATTATGCTTGCCTTCATACCTCATACACCAACTATGAAGGACAGGCCCAATTTTCTGTATGCAGCGGGGATAGTGGACAAGAAAATGATGCTTTGGTAAAAGGTTTTTCTGAGGATACAACTTTTTAAACAGTGTGTGGTGATCCACAATTAAATGTTTTAAATATACACATAAACCTTGAGATAACATGGGCGAGAATATGATGTTTATTATTTGAAGAAGTAAAAGAAGCAGGCTCCAGTGTTGGTCAGTAGAAGTAAACAAATCTCCAAAGATAAGAGGAACATTCCTAAGTAAGCACCAGGACTGAGATGCATTCAGTCCTAGATCATTAGATCCTTCACTTAAATTAACAGCTACAGGTCTGTTGTTTCTCTCCATGAAACCATAATCAAAACTTTGTATTCTTGAATGTATTTCTGCTGATGTAACATGCTTTTCCTTCAAATACAGAAATAATAACTTCAATTCGTACTGGCCCACCCCTTCTAACACATCATGCATCACATCAACTGAGAAGTTCTCTGTTGTGTGAAAATACTCCAATGAATTTAATATGCATGAACGTTTCACACCAAAAACGTAGGGAAGGGATGGATTACAAGCCATTTCTTGACAGTGAGCAGTGTGTACATCTTTGGTGCGCAAAACTATTTTGGAAGAGTCTTCAGAGAATTCTGTCTGAAAGTCCTCCTTTTCCGCTAAACAGAACCTGCAACAGTACCTTGCACTGAAAGACTCCACTAGACCAAACAAACAATGCAATCCCAAATTATCACCAGTAACCTGCACTACAGTGCCACGAACAAAACCATTGTATAATGGAATCTCAATACCATCACTCTCTAACACTTTAATATCTCGAACAATGGGAGCAAAAATTTCACTAAAACCATAACGTTTAACATCTTGAGCATGAAATAAGGCGCACAGGTGTATGTTAGCTAAAAAAGAATTCCATTTTGGAGAGAAGTTTCTTAAAGTAAAATATACTCCACCTAATTTATGAATACCTCGCTTTGGACCCAGAGGGTTGGCGACCTCAAAGTCATCATAGAACATCTGGATCTGTATTGTCTGCTTCTCAGTTGAGAACAGGGGGTGACTTTTAAAAAAAGATCCATCACAAATATCTCTCAGTCTAGAGTCGCTGGTTGCTGAGCGTTGCAACATTTCTGCAACATATGGACTTTTAAATATTGACTGCAGTGTAGATAAAATTGGAATATACATGAATTTATCTTGAACTACTACCTGATCATATGTTCCAGTCTTTTTATTTCGTCTTGTGTCAAATCTTGAACCAATCACACATTCAATTGGTTCGACCATTTCCCACTTGTCAGTCATAAATTTTGATCGTTTGTATTCCGAATTTAGAATTGTGAAAGGATTCTCTAACCCCTCAAAACACGCCTCAACTTTCTTGCACATTTCCGTTTCTCTTTCATTACTAAATACATGCTTTATCACTGTCTCTTTAGCATGCTGATGGATATCTTGAACAATCTCTTCCATGGAAGTCACTACAGAATTCAGTGTACTTTGAGCAACACCTGCTGCCTTTAGATCAGAAATTACAGCTGAACAACTATTTACAATGTATGGCGAAGATAACTGTGACTCGGCCTCTAACTCTTCAGTCGACTCTTCAACATGAAAAACATTACTTGTATTGATGGTGCTTTGAGGATATGAAAGATCAGATTCCACAGAATCAACTAAACTGCTTCCATGGCACTTATTAAGATGCTTTCTTAAACCTGAAAAACTACCAAAAGAACGTGAGCATCCTTCTTGACCACACTTCAAAAAAAGAGTCCTGCCTGTACATAGTCCATGAATTACCTTAAAGTGCTTAACAAGGTTGTTTGGACTTCCATGGTCACTTTTGCAAAGAAAACACTTCATAGTTTTATCTCAACTAACGCACCATTCTTGCTCGCAACTCCGCAACTCTAGGGGTCTCCTTTGTTTCCCCCATGTCGATGTTATAGATGGTTGTTTGCACAAAAGTGAAAAAGCTGCTTAGGGAAGAACTGTATGACGTACCAAAGACGTAATGGGCTTTAAAGAGTTCATCAAAAGCGGCAACTGAACCTTTTGCCTTGCATGGAAGTGCTTTCTTGTCGACCACAATGAAGAAGGAGTGAATGGTGCTTTGTGTGGATCCCTGGGCGAGAAGGTAGGGCTGACTGCTTTGGGTGATGTTGTCTAGATGCTGCTGCACACTGGTTCCAACCTACAACAAAACACATTTAACAGAATTGTTTTGGTGACTAATTTCTGACAATAGATCAGATCACCTCAAACTGTGCACAAGATTGAAGTGATGGAAGAAATATTTTAAACAACTCTTAAAGGATTAGTTCACTTTGAAAACATTTTTTGCTGATAATTTACTCACCCCCATGTCAACCAAGATGTCCATGTCTTTCTTTCTTCATTTAAAAAGAAATTAAGGTTTGAGGAAAGCATTACAGGATTTTTCTCCATATAATGGACTTCAATGGGGACCAATGGTTTGAGGGTTTTGAAAACGACCGTTTGTTTTGCTAGATAAGAACTTTATTTCTCTGCTGAGATCATGTCGAGACTTTGAAGCTACATTGAGACAGACTTTGTACCCTCAAACCATTGGTCCCCATTGAAGTCCAGTATATGGAGAAAAATCCTGTAATGTTTTCCTCAAACCTTAATTTCTTTTGACTGAAGAAAGAAAGACATGAACATCTTGGATGACATGCGGGTTAGTAAATTATCAGCCAAAATGTTTTTAGAAGTGAACTAATCATTTAAGCATACCTTTTGAAATCTGATAAGCTGATCTACAGCTTGATATGCAGACAGCTTTCCCGGCTTCTTTCTACCTTGTGCAGATGGTGGTAGCAAATGTAGCAGCAGCAAGATGGCAGACATGTCACTGTCCCAGCCTACAAATAAGTGAATAAAAACCTGGTTAACATTATACCATAGTATAGCATTCAAATTGACAACTAGAACCAATATGGAAATGTACACTTTCTACACACCTACTTAACCCACAATAAAAAGTAAAACAGTTCCATTCATACCATTCTCAACTTCAGCAGCTGACTCAGCATTCCGCATCAAATCCAAGAGTTCTGTGGTGGGTACAAGTCCATGGCTTTCCTTTATTACTTTTGCTTTGAAAGTGGTTGGCCACTTCTCCAAAAATTTGTTGGCCGTGGCCTCACCAAACAGAAGTCTGAAATCTTGTTCTATCTGCAATGTAACACACATAGACAGAAGTGATGAGTGATACATAATGCTACATTGGATATTTTGGTGATGCAGTGAATTATTAAGATGTCATACCAGTCCTGGTGTGTCCAGAAATCGTGGGAAGACCAAGAAGACATCTGATGATTTGGCTTCATCGTTGACCATTGCTTGCCGATATACGAAGGTCATTTTCATCTTCTCACGGACAGTCTTTTCATCAGAAGAGTGTTTCAAAACAGCAATAGCTGCTTCCACATCCTCATCAGACAGCTCTCTGTCATTGGCGAAGGGCTGACGACCACGGCCTGGCCCACCAACTTAATACAATACAATGTTTAGAACTAATTTCTGTACAATTCACAGGTTATAATCACATGTCACTGATCAGTAAACATACCTTTAGGAGATTTGCTGACTGAGGCACCTCTTTCCTCTGCTGATTTTCTCTGTATGGTCTTCAATCGCCATGCAAGGTATCCCGAACCACTCTCCGGATCGTAGTAATGTTCCTATGCAATTATAATAATTTATAAAGGAGTACTATTAACATTTCAAACAGTGAATATGTGCATAATGTTGCACTAACCCATTTACTTACATATCCATGTTGTGAGTATGGGTCTTCTAGATAGGGAAACAAGGCTACTATCCCCTGTGCATACATCACTCTAACACTTTTGGGGGGGGATGTCCTAGCAAATGAATTCAAAGTTAACATCATACTCAATTGACATTGCACAACACAATTTACATAATTAATAACTGTAAAATAATAACAATGTTTCTTTATAGCCCCTTAATGCTTACCCATGTGTTTCTGTCATCTCAGCAGCAAGTATGTTAATCATCTGTCTTCTGGTGGCATCTGTCAGAGATTTGGTTTTTCCATACTCTTGCATAATGCGTTCACCACCAGGTTTTGATGTTAGGATTTTTTCAATCAACTATAGGTGGAATAAAATGTGCTTTCCGTTATTGTGAAACCATATGTGATGTTGAAAAAAATACATATCTAGAACACTTCCCATGGTGAAACAACATTCAGATTGGACTTAACAGCAATTTCCACCACTTACAGCTTTTGCCTCGTAGTTTATATGGCATGGCCTTTTAGGCTGGCTTCCTTCGTCAGCGGCTACTTCTTCAACAGGGTCACACATCATTAAATTCAGGATGATGGTGTCATCAGATGTACCCGAGCATGATGATGATTGAGAGGCACCTGTTCATTATAAAATATGTACAAAATATAAACACATTACAAGAATCAGTTTTTTTTAAGACAATAAATATTCTCATTCCGGCCTTTAAACTAAACAAAATCATTTGTGAATTGTCTGAATAAATACCAAGTCCTCCATTGCCCAGCATGATTCTGAAAGTTCCAGGTGACTCCTTCACTATTTCTTCAAAAACCTCTGTGTCAACTTCCGTGTCTGACTGGTCATAAACCTTAATGTCTGGCTGCCTGCTTTCTGGTATGTTGAATTTTAGACATGCTGTTTAAAAAAGTTTAATAAAGAAAAAATATTCCCTTGTCACAAGAATCAATGGTCATATTTAATTTTGTATTCAAAAAAAGATGAAAGACCTGCACCGGAGTTTGAATAGAAATGATTATTGACCTAACTAGATATCATAGCATAATAGGTTAATGCTGTATTATTTTGATATTGGGTGATGTATATTGATTTAATCTAATACCCACCTTCTTTCAAGAAAGCATCGAATGTCAGCTCAGACAGCTTGACGTATTTCTGCTCTTCCCCGAATTGAACACGCAACAGCATTTTGCCCCTGTTAACATAGAAAATATATTCAAAATCATAATTTAGGGCTGGTTCAAATGAAAGTTACCTATACATTTCTCTCAGTACTGGCAATCCACTAGATGTTACACGGTTACAAAGGGCGGCTGAAGAAGACAAAGTTGTTCTGGTTGAATAACGTTTGGCTATTTTCTGCAGCAAATTAAATTTTAATTTAATTAGGCTAGTTAAATTTTAGAGGCACGTTGCCGTTACCAAATAGCTGTGCCCAAGTTAGATATTTTAGTTCGAACAGTAACGTTAACCCGTTAAAATAGCATGTTAAACAAACACGTACATGCAATCAGTGATCTAATTATCGTTTATAAGGCCAACATTAACTATTAGAAGCATGCAATTGCTAACTTTGGTAACGTTATATATATAAAACAGATTAACGTTGCCTGGGAAGCTAAAAAATACATTAACTATGAAAAGCTGTTAACTGTATTAAATATTTTGTTGTTATAGCGACCGAGCTAACGTTATTTTACGCATAAATCTTTCATAAGTGAAAATATTGCAACACCGTGATATTGAAATATTGAAATCAACGACATGGCTATTAGCAGCTGGTTAACGTTGACGTTAATAACGTTACCCTTGACTCATATCAGCAAAACTTTAAAATTATGTAACTTAACGTTAATAAATATAATTTTGGTGTTGAACACAGGGATGTTACTTACCAAGTTATATCAGTGGTATAACGCTCAATCGCAGTCTTCCTCCACCGACGTCGTGCCAAACATGTGCAAAACAGCAGAATGGCGGGTATTCATCACTGCCGTATAGTTGAAAATGCTGCGTTTCTGTAGATTTTTACACTCACTTTTAACTCCACTGATAGAGCAACTTTACTCTTCAAAATGTTGAAAATACTCTATCTGGGTTAAAATATGTTTACTCTGAAATATTAACACCCCATTTTTTACTGTGTAGGATCAAATCAATGTTCTTTCATTAACTTAATTGTCTGGTTATTATGAAATGATGATTGTGCTATCGCTCTGAAACTGTTCAGTGATCATAACACCTTTCTGATCTAATAACCAGTAATATTATCTCTCATTGATCCTTCATTCTGGTTTAGTGAAGTGATGATTGGATCAAACACGTGTGGTGCGTGAGATGTGTAACCTCTAACGCCGCCTTCACACTGGCAGTTGAAATCAGCTCCGATGCGGCTGCGAAACGACCGGAAGTCATTCATTTCCTATGGAGATTCGCAGACCGCATGCGAATGGATCCGAAACGGGTCCAACCGAGTGCGGTGCGAAGAAAATCGTGTCCGTTGGTCATCCGGATGCGTTCAAAAATTTGAACTCTTGCGAAAAGCTACGGACGGGTCCTATCCGACAATTCCAGCGGAAGTTGACCGTTGCTATGGTACTGATAAACAAACCTGAATTATTAACTTTTAATAAAATAAATATTGATTTTATAACGATAAGTTGTGATGTCATTTTTTTTTTTCATGACTTTCTAACGTTTATAAGGGCAGTTAATACAATTAAATTGAAGGTAGACATTGAACTATTGACCACTATAGACCATTTCACAAGATGTAAACAAGACTGGTCCAGAAGCACTTCCTGTTTCAGTTTGTAACTGTTTTCTTTGTTTCACATACAGAAAGCATCTTAAAGATGTTTGTTTAACTTTTTGATTCAGTTTTAAATGTTCGGTTGGTTGTATTTTATCCCAGCTTTTATGTAGTGTTAAAAAACTGAAACAGGAAGTGCTTCTGGACCAGTGTTGTTTACATCTTGTGAAATGGTCTATATCACATTTTTTAGCCGACCTGACATGTCAACGTCCTGAGCAACTTTCCTCACGCAGCATAACCCTCATCAGAGAGATCATACAGAACTGACAGAATCAAACTTTAATCTCTCCGCCATTTTTGTTCTACCCGCGTCCGACGTTTTTCACTGTGTAGTACGACGTCCGTTGGGAACGTATTGCGTATTACGGAGCTGATTTCAACTGCCAGTGTGAAGGCGGCGTAATCCAATAACCAGAATTACAGAGGAGATAACTGAAGAGGAAGACTACATTATCTTACATTAAATGAGAAATAAATAAAGGAAAAGCTCAGCCAAGGCCCCACCCTGGAAAATGATCAGCAAGTGATATACTAACATTTTATGTATGTTTTGTAAATTCTGTTATAAGTCATTTACAAGTGATTAGTAAATGATTAAATAGTTTTTATGAAACATGATTATACGTTTCATAAATGTTTAATAAGTGATATGTTAATTATTGTATACATGTTTTGTAGATTGAGTTAAGTCATTTACAATTGTTTAGTTAATGATTAACTAATCATTTACAAAACATGAACATGCGTTTAATAAATGTTTAATAAAGGTTTTTATTTTTTCCCTACTTTTACACAATTACAAACAACCCAGCCTGAAAAACACATGTTGTATGAAGACAGTTTACACCCCTCCTAATCCTCACAGAATTTGCAAGACATTGCTACTGATATGATAACACCTGATGTAACAATGATGTATGAGCGCCACGACGTCATCAGAGACGACTAGAGCGCGGGAGAGAACAGCCGAGCTGCCAAATCTCCAGTAGGGGTTCAGCGAAAAATCGGCAGCTGGCAGCAGGAAGTAGCTGTCACTGGCAGCAGGAAGTAGCTGCCGTTGACAGCCGGAAGCTCTACCAAATTAGGAGCGACCTGCCAGGTCGTGGCAGCCAATCAGTATCCTCCAACGTAGCAGCAACCAATCACATGTACCTTGAAGTTAAGAGACAGTAGGCCCGCGAGTTTTCAGTAATGGCGGCGGCTTTTGGCTTGGTAAGTTCGTAAATGAATCATATTAATAAATAATTGTTGCTCTATAAATTGGATTTTAACTTTTTAGAAACAGTGTATCTGTGCCTGCTTTAGTTTAATATGCTAGTTCAGGTGTGCTCAAACCTGCTCCTGCCGATCGACTGTCCTGCACAGTTTATCTGCAACCCCAATCAAAAACACCTGACTTAATTTGCAAGTGAACTAGAAGACATTAATTGTGTGCTTCAGGTGTATTTTATTAGGGTTGAAGATGAACTGTGCAGGACAGTCAATCGGCAGGAACAGGTTTGGGCACACCTGGTTTAATCATTTGTAGAAACGCAGCTTGTGCACCGTGTGGTCCTGGTTTGTGAGGGGCTAACGTTACCATTAACTTTAAATACAACGTTAATATTATTCTATCACCATTACATTTTAGCGTTAGTTAACATGATAACTTAACCTATTGATTAGAATAACGGTAATGTTGATTTATTGGAATTATTGAGAAGCTCAGCCGACACATGCAACGCTAACTCTGTCGTTTTTCGTGTATTTCATTTTCCAGGACTGTCTGATATCCAACTTCGATTTTTGTTGTAGTACTATTCCATTTTTTTGGATAAAACAGTTCTTTTAAGAACTACCTTTCTAGCTCGGTGTGTACACCCTGTTCTACAAAAAATTATGGCCGGTAAGTAGCCAATTATTTCCCAAAATCTTACTAACTAAAGGTTTTTTTTTTTTTTTTTTTTTTTTTAGCAGAACATGCAAAGAACTGCCCATGTTAAAGATTTAATTAGTCTTCTATAATGTTCAACCTTTAAATGTGAATAAATGTGTTGCTATTTTGAGGCATGTTACTTTCTCATACACTACATGTGTAGGAATACCCTTTGCCTTTGGAAAAGGCGAAGTCTTTTCTGGGACAGGCAGTTGTCCCTACTGTACAACTGGAGTGATGTCAAGTCCTGAGCATTTTCAGGAAAAGCATGTAAAGCATGCCATACATTTTGAGGACAATGGCATCCGTAAGCAATGTACAAAGCACACATATATTTTACATGTTTGTTGTAAGCTAATGTATTAACATTCTCTTGTCTTTCTAGAAAAATTTTGTGTTCCTTGCTTTTGTTTGAATGCCCGACAACAAAATAGGTGCCATTGGCATTGCCCTGAGTGTCAGCACATCTTGTGTCGTGCCCCTGACTTTAAAAAGCACCTACATAATCATAGTATGTACAATGTAATTAGTTAAATTTTAAAGTCTTGTTTCATTTTGATTTCTTTCATGTTATGATTAACTCGCCTCATCTTTTGTCCTTTTTGCAGATCTTTTAGTTGCATGCAAAGTTACCGACAAGCCAGACAGTATGCATCTTTGATACTGGTATTTAATAATGTTTAATGTTTGTTGATCTTGGTCTACTTTAACATGTTTATATATTGTCCCTCAGAAAAACCAAAGGCAGGGCGGCAGGTCAAGGAACAACCACCTGTCATTTGTATTGATGAAAGAAATGGGATTTTTGTCACCCCAAAAGATTCCCATGGACCTAGAGTCCCTGTTCACGTCAAGAAACAAGTCGTCTCGGGGTCTATTGCTTGTGAGTCACCTCTTTGTCGAGATTTTATGAGGATTGGAGTAGAAAGTGGTAATCCAGGCATTGAATGCGATCACCTTCAGAGGACCAATAGAGCTGTGTGCTATTCTGCACCAGCAGCACTCAGGGAGGACTCTTTGCAGTCAATGGTTGACCGTGGCCTGCTGTCCAAAACCCGACAAGATGAATGTGTGCAGCTAAGAAAAAAAAGTATTGCTGGTGGTGTGGATTGTGTTTTTCCCATTTTTTGGCACGAGCATACCTCTGTCAGGTTAGTTTATTTTTCTGTGTTTACCGGGGTAAAAGACAACTGGTGTCAGTTCGAAAGGACCAGAGTCTCTTTTGATAGCCATTTGGGCAAGTGGCACTGCCAGTGCCGCAATAGAATGAGAAGCTGCGTCCACAGATACCTGAGCATGTGGTGGCTGTTTCAAGAGAAACCCCACCTCCTTTCCTGTCAAACTAACCCAAATGCTGAAGACAGTGATTTGGATGAAAGGGTAATAGATGTTGCAGAGACTGAAGTGGCAACACTGGCTTCTACTGACATACAGGAGTTGACGGGTTATTTGTGGCGGCAAAAGAGGGTGCCAGAAAACCTTCCACAGGATTTGTCAACAAAAGAACGCCAAATTCCAGACTTCTTTGAACCCCTGGAGTCCAACTGTCCTTATTGCCCTGGTCCCACTCCACCAGCATTGGGGGAGAGGGTACTAATTACACGGCATGGGACGGTGTATGGAATATCTTCAGTGACTCGAGGTTAATTTCATGTATAGAAATGTATAGATCTTTTTATGTATTTTCCACAATGTGTTGAACATTTAATCTTTTAAACAATTTCTGTCTTCTCCAGATGTGCCAGTGTATGTGAAGAACTGCCTTGTTTGTAGATGTCCAGTGAGGTTTCAAGAATATCAGTCTGGTTTCCACAATTATGAAAACCGGACCTTTTTGACCATTCCCCTATGTTCTCTTCTGACATCTGGACTGGCAGTGAGTGACTTAAAAACATGACTTGAATTTCGCATACTTCTACATGTCAGGTGTGTGTTTGTGTTTATAGAATCATATTGCCCTTGGACGTTTTTTGCAAACAATGGAGGATCATGCCAACATCACTCTTCCACACAATTTGATACGAAAGGCATTTTATCATTTTTCTGCTTTGAGGAAGTACTCCTATGAATATTCATGTGTCAGATGTGGCCACAGCCCTCCGGTTTTAGTTGCAGATGGAAACTGGAAAATTGCATTTGATTTACCTGGTAAGTGAGTGTATTGTTAATTGTGAGTGCATATAATGACTGGTCTTGATATATTTGCTTCTTTGCTCATTGTCTTGGTTGTGTATTAGCACATCTGTTTAAACGACCAAATTTGGACAAAATCTGCCAAGAAGATACTCAAGTTAATGTAAGAACAAGATGGGAGACACTTGAGAAGGAAATGACTGCTTCTGGGTTCTGTGATGGTAAGTGCTATTTTGGGGGTGGAGTGGGGGTACCCATAGCTTACATCCTGAAATTAAAGTCTTATTCTCCTTTTTCAATTTAGGCAAAACATTTGCCAATCCTTATTCACATCCCTTGACGTACACTGCCTTTACTCCATGGCTGGGTCAATGCTCTAGGGTAAGCGATATTATTCCAAAGACAGAAGTGTACAAAGGTCTGTCTCAGAAAGATCGGGCTTTCACCTCTAGCTGTTGCTTGGAGATAGATGAAGAAGCCATTTTGCAAGTGCTGGAATCCAAAACTGTATGTAGTGTACCTTATTCTGCTAATGATGTTTTCTTGTACCTTTTTATTTAAAATTTTTAACCATGACTTTTATATTTAGCCAAAGAAAGAAGCCTTGGTGAAAGCCTGCAATGCCCTGGGAGTATCACACATGGGTAGTACCACTGACTTAATTAACAGACTTGAGGAACTACTCCTTTACAAGGATTTGTACCCCAAAATGTTCGTAAAGCTTCAAAAGGCTGGTGGTAAGAGATTGTCATATGTTGTATTTTGTGTTTATTTATTTCTTCTGCCATTTTGAACAATTAAATCTTAGGTCATATGTAATGCAAAAATCCTGTACATAATACAATGCAAAAAAAAAAACCCACACATTTATTGAAGGGTTAGTTCACCCATTTAGGAAAATGTTGTCATTAATCTCACACCCTTATGTCGTTCTAAACCTGTAAGACCTTTGTTCATCTTCGCAATACAAAATTAAGATATTTATGAAATCCGAGAGGTTTCTGACCCCACCATAGAATGCAATGCAATATCCACTTTCAATGCCCAGAAAGGTAGTAAAAAGTCTGTTTCCAGTAGTTCAACCTTGATGTTACAAAGTGACGAGAATACTTCTTGCAGTGCAGCTCTTCCAGGTTCTACTTCAGAATGCCGCTTCACTATTGGCCGTCTCCTGTGTCAGCATCGCACGCATGTGTATGTAATGTATTGTCTCTTCAGTCTTCATAATATTAAGATTGAACCATCAAGGTTAAATATTTTTTTACTACCATTTTGGGCCTTGAATGTTGAAATGCTGTCTATGGATGGTGCAGAAACCTCTCAGATTAATTTGTTGCGGGTTTGGAACAACACGAGGGTGAGTAAATTATGATTAAGAAATTTAAATTAATAATTAAGAAATTTCAGATTTTGGGGGAACTAACCAACCCTTTAAATATTCTTTACATTTCTTCTTTTTTTTCATGCATATGAAACATTTTGAGGATGTTTTCTTTTTAAATTAATAAACATTCATCATTTTTCTTTGTTTTGCCAAATGGAGGTGGTGTTTTGCACATGACCTGCCCACACTCTGTGGTGTACTACCAGTCAGCACTGTGGTGGCAAGAGTCTGCCCGTGATCATGGAGATGCTCTTTTGAGCTTTAAACACCCTCCCACAGTGTATGTGTCTGACATTGCTGGACGTGTTGCAAGACACGTTAATAATCGCACCAACCAACGTTTTTTCCAGCCACATGATGGACGACTTTGTGCAAACACTGCTGCACACATCCAGGCAGCAACAGAAAAACGACTCGAAGTCCGGTTCCCTTGGGTAACAAGTGTTGGCTTCTCATCAAGAAAAGTCTCTGAAAATGAGCCCACCTATTCTTCTGACACTTTGTCCTCACTGCATCCTGTGACAGGAACCAATGCAAGATTCTCCTTGTATGATCGGTTCCATCAAAAAAATCAAACCAGACAAGAGGAGATTTTGAGAAGTTTGAAATTGGCACCGCACTTAGCTGCTCTTGTTAATTCCTCCGTAGCTGAACAGCTTAACCGGGAGTTGTCTTCCAGCAGATATTCTTTGTGTCAAATGAGGGATGAACATTATATGTTCTCCCTACGACTGTTCTTTCATCTTCACAACAAAAGAGTTAATGAAAAATACACAAGTACTTTGAAGATGCAGGCAAAGCATTCCATCCACATTGGCCTACATGGGAAATTGACATTCAGGAGTGAAGGTAGTTATAGTTATTACTGATTTTTCAACATTGCCTCTAATGCCCTTTTAGATTTTCCCAATTAGCCATAAACAAATACATGTTTTTTTTTGTGTGTGTGCTCTACAGGTACTACCACAGAACTTCAAGAAGGTAAATTGACTTGAATCACTTAAGTAATTGTAAATATCAGGTTTAGGTTTTTATATAAATCATTATTTGGTAGCCAATATCCCAAATGTGCCATGTTTTAATGCTAAATACCTGATGAAATAAACAATTTTAATCATCATTACTTCACCATATTCTAAACTTCTTTATTTTGTAGTTCCACCAAGTTCACCAGAGCCTGACACAGATTGCTGGGGACGGATAAACATACGTGCCAGGAAGGAAACCTCAGATTTCCAGTTGCAAAACCAACCAAACCCACTAGTATGTTTTCACATAAGAAATATAATGTTTAAATGTATTATATACTGTCTTGATCAAAGCATACAAAGGCGTACTGTTTTGGTTATAAATATAGTTATCAAAACAGATTTTAGATTGGCTTTTATCTAAAATTTGACAAATCTGTCTGTTTTGTTACTGTCTTAGTTTGATCATGTTTTGGATGGGACCCAATCACCAGATGAAATCATTGGTGCAGTGGGTAAAACGGTGTTGAAAAGATCTGACTTTATGTCTTTAGGATTGAACCAGGAAGTGGAAGCAACAGTTAGTGGATATATTACACAACTTTGTTTTAATATATTTGAAGTAACTTGTTTTTTTTTACTATTAACATTTCTGATCCTTATGCTATAGGTGATGAACTGTTGCCTTTCTCAGTTATCACACATTGCTGGAGAGAAGGTATCATGGGTGTCATTGACAAACCTGTTTTATATAAGCTAATAATGATGGTTATTACATGATATTTGTGCTGTTAAAATTCAGGGGTTTTTTTTCTTCTTTTTTGACAGGGCAAGGATGTTTATGTTCTTGATTCATATGTGGTGGCCACTTGGCAACCACCTCTGAATTGTGATCCATTTCTGTCCCTGCCAGTAAGTAGTGTTAGAAATTTTTGGTTTGGTGTCCTGCTTTAAAGGGACAGGCCACCCAAAGTTTTCACCCAAAAATACTGTTTTGAAACAACTTGAGGTTGAGTAAATGACATAATTTAAAATTTGGGGAGAACTATCAATTTTAAGTTATCATTATTATTACTTCTTATTGTAATTTCTCAGACAAATTGCCACTTTCCAATAATATGCTATGCTGTTCCTCTGTTCACTCCAACAGACCGATGCATCCTCAAAAGACTGCATCCTGTTTCCTATATGCAAATCAGGTCACTGGACCCTATGCGTAAGTTGTTGATTTCTTCAAATACCGTTCTTTTAATTTTGGAAATATCTTAATCCTTGTTATCCAAGACTTTGCCTGACAGCCATATTTGATATTGTTCATTTTTATGGTCGTCATGATTAAGCATATTCATTTTGTTTTCCCTCTTTATCGTTAATCAAGATTGTATACTTGAATCAAGAAATAACAAACCTACACACAGGCAGTCTATATTGTAGGAAGTTTGCTTTGTGTATTCTGCAGGTATTGCTCCCGAAACTTAAAAGGATACATGTCCTCGACTCCACTGACCCTAAGGGTTATGGAGATACTGACTGTGTATCCATGTTCAGGTTTTCATACTGTATAATTCCATTCTATGGAGTTCCGTTGAGCAAAAAACTGTTCTGTGTTCCAGTTGAAGTTTTATGCTTGTGTATATGTAATGTAATATTTGTTTATTTTATAAATCAATACAAAATATAATGGAACTGTTCATTGTTCCATATAGCTTTCACCCCAGTTTTACAGACGAGTCTCAAACTAGTCCCACACTAAAATGCAGGTTTAACTGAAAGCAACTTGCACTTGCATGTCTTAATGTCAGTGCCATTGTTTCTTTTAATATTCACAACAGTAAAACATTTCAGGCTTGTTTTTAAAAGCTACTTCAATGTCTTAATTGAACTTGGGCCTAGTCCTGGCATAATCTAAATCCAGTCTGTGAAACTGGGCTTCAAAATTTTAAAGTCCAGTGGTTCAGTTCAACATTTTTTTTTCTGGCTTTAGATGGGCATAGACAGTGGCATTTTAAATAAATTAATTCCACCTGCTCCCTAGTTCAGGTAACGGTCATGTCTATGCCGGTCGATCTCGTTCTCTCTCTCTCTCTATGCTTATCTCGTTCTCTTTCTCTCTATCTCTCTCTCGTTCTCTCTCATATAAAATAACTAACTTTTACCTTCTTTTTTAAGCACAATCGCAATAAAGATGGTTCCAGGATCTTGGAAGCTGGTTAAAAACAAGGTATTGATTTCATGTTGCAACAATTGATGTATTTGGTATCTTTTTAGTGTGTAAATAAAGTGTTTATTTTTCCTTTTTCATTTGTTTTCTAGGGTGTTCCAGCACAGTCAGGATCTGTGAACTGTGGAGTATTCATGCTAATGGTAAGTAATTACGGTGGTCTTTATTTCCCCATAACATTTATTTTAAGGATAACCAAACATCCATAATTCTCAAAAGGCTATCAGGCTGATTCCAATGAAAATAGATTTTTTTTTCCCCAGGTATTGATAAGTTAATAATTTGATCTATACTTGTAATTGTCGAAGCGCTATTTTTTTTTATATAGCATATTAAAATTGTCCTTTTTTTGTCTGTGCTTTTTAAATGCAAATGAGCTGCTTCTCCCAACACAGACTGCGGACCCTCAACAGCTGTTTTTAGCAAAGCCATATAGAGCATCATAGTCCCCACAAAGCCCGAATTTCCCAATCATTTCTCCCTTTGACGTTTTGTAAAATCCATATCTAAAGAGTTTGACGATAACCAGCTACGGCTGAACTGAGGTGTCTCAGAGGTGCGACCTATGAACTTAGCCCTACGTCATTACGCGATCTTCAGTCTTCACGTGCCTTCGCGGGGTTTCAGACACGTTACACAACTTCCACCAATCAGATACATCACTGTGGGATTGTTCAGGATTGTGGGTAATGAAGTACTTATCCAATACATCGCGAATAAAAGGCATTTATCTCAAAACAAGGTTAGTGGCCCATGATCTTTTGGCGTTTGTATGAGCATATACAATCTCTACAGCCCTAGCTGGTTTTAAGTCTACCATGTATGGTTATGTTTTTATGGCTTATATCTCAACTGTCAATGAAGAAATTGTATTGAATTTTTACTTCCAGCACCGGCTGTGGGCGGGACTGTGATGCTCTATAGAGCCCTTTGTTGTGTTGTGGGTTTATGTAAATTTTTATGGTCTGTGAGTGTCACTAGCCCAGGAGGAAGCTTGTGTAGTCCCTACCAGTTGTTTGTTGTAGTCCTTTAAATTATTTCTTTATAAAGAGAATTTCCATTAGCTTTGATCGTCATAACTTATCATATTGCATAATGTTTATACTCGATCAGCAACATTACACTAAAGTTAGAAAAGTTAAATCATAATCAACCACCCCTTTAAAAATGTGTTCTCTGTTTGACAGTATGCACTGTACATGGTGTTTAACTGGGAGTTTGACTTTACCCAGGTAAGCACCATCCCTTCTCTTAATATTTTTAGGAAAGGTATTACTTTTGGACATTTTAAACATCCATTTCAAAATTAATCTTTTGCTTTTCAGAATGATATGGCCCATATCAGGCGGTGGTGGGTGAATCTGCTACTGTCAAAAATGACACATGGAAGGTATAGATTTTTTTTTTTTATATTGTTTCCAAAATAGTTTTTATTTACCTATTCTAAGTAATGCTTGGTAATGAAATGCATGTTGTTTTTGTTTTTAGAAAGAGGAAGTGCACATCAGCCATGCCAGTCAGTGAAGAGACAGAACGAGAGGAGGCAGGACAAGTACCAAACATCGAAATCTTGATGGTAGTAGTACATTCAATATGACGGAAGCAAAGATTTAACAGATTTCAAAGCCTTTATTATCTCACAAACTATCATAGTAGCTTTATGACATATTATTGTTGAATTAAATGTTTTCAGGTATTACCTGCACCCATAGGATGCATAATTTGTACCAATGGAGATTAGGTCATGATGTTTGGAAATGGTAGTATTAATTTTTTTTGTTTTGTTTTTTTGTAACACCCAATAGTTGCCGGACGCTGTCCTGTCTGAAATTCTACTCCTCGTGGTCCTTGAGGAGGGGGATTCTGGATTGTTGAATCTGTCTTTAGTTTGTTCTAAATTCAGAAGTCTGGTGGATACAGACTCATTTAGGAGGAGGGCACACTTCTGCTGGCTTGACAGTATGTATTTACTTTTACACATTTGATTTAAATGTGGTTTAAATGGTAACTGAGAAATGTATTGGTAGCCTATGTCAACATGTCTTCAATTATTCCCTTTTTAATCATGTTCATTTTTATGCTCCTCAAATTAAAATATTCAGGTGTAACAAATTGGAGAGGGAAGACTTGTCAAGAGTATTATCAGATGTACACACTGCAGCCCTGCAGACACTGCAATGACATTTACAAGAACTGCTTACCAGGTGTATCAATTATGAATGAAAATGTGCTTAATGACAAAATGGAATTATAATAGTCATTCATGTGGCTGCATCCATGTGTCCTGTTAAGGTAATTTGGATATTAATGTCACAATTTTCTTATGAATCCTCTAGGTTATGTTGGAAGAGGAAAACGAGGAGAAATCCAAGGCTTTTACTCTGAAAACACCATCCAGGGTTTTGCAGTGATTGGTGTCAGCTGCTGGAGAGTGAAAATTCATTCACTCTTCCAGGTCCAGTCTAAAAGCCTACTTGAACTATCCAACTCGTCTAATTGCGTAGGACATATAAGATCGGTTCCAACCAGCACACAGCTTGTTCCGCCTGCTTCAATCGGGTAGGAGGTACCGCCTCTTCTCAGGCAGTTTAGACTGCTGAATAAGAACCACCCCGGCTACCTCTTCTCACCTAATCCACTCACTTAACACTACCCAACAACTACAATAACGTGAACTGGACTTTGCATTGTTGCAGCTGCACAAAAGTGACTGTTCTGGTTCATGGTGACTGTTTGCCTTATCCCTTGTTTTTGTCGCTTTCCCCGTTTCCTTGCTATTGTTGATCTCACTTAATCTGTCTATTATTTATATTATCAAACATTGCAATAATTGTGACTGGACTTTGCATCGCTGAAGCACATTCAAGTATACAACATCTTTTTCTGGTTACTATTGATTCTCTGCCTCATACACTTTATTTTTTTTATCTTTATTCCTGTTTGATATCTGCCGCTGTGCCTTGTTAACAAAATATGCTCTTGTTGATCTTATTCCTCATAAATTGCACTGTCGACTGATGCCCTAATGTAATTTTGTGTAACACTGCAATGACAATAAATTGTTAAGATGATCTTTAACTAAAATTATTTCCTTCTAACTTTGCTAATCTAATAGAAGAGCTCAAGTCTGAGAAACACCCTCCTCAGTCTGTTTTCTGCTGACCAGGTTGCCTTACGTGATAGGATTAACAGAATTATACTTTTGTATTTCTTTAATGAATAAAGTGAACATTGTACTACTTTCTGAGGAGGGAGTGTTTTATCAGTTTGTTTTGGTAGTTTGTCCTGAATAATGGTGAGCCTAAGCCCTTTATAACCTTGGAGGGTGTGTGTGTGTGTGTGTGTGTGTGTGTGTTGAATGCAGGTCTTGTGATATGCAACAACAGACCATGAGATGCATTTCTACGACTTCCAAGGTCATTGCTGAACCAAGTTTTGGACTGACAATGGGCTTTATGCCCAGCTGCACTACTTCCTGAACTTCAGCCAACTCCTTGTTTCCGGTCTGCTATTATTGGTCAAATTGATTAATTCAGGTGTGCTTAACCTCAGTAGTCATGGCAATAATAATCAGACACACCTGAATTAATCAATTTGTCCAATAATGGCAGACAGGAAACAAGGAGCTGGCTGAAGTTCAGGAAGTAGTGCAGCTGGGCATAAAGCCAATTATCTTGATTAATGTTGACTTGAGCACCTATCCATAAGTGTAGAATTGTTTAGACCATCTCCTTGTGAGATTTTTGACGCCTGGCTCTACTGATGAAACTGCAAACTATTCTTCTGTAAATGTTTACTTATTTGATTGAATCTCATGACTCCTAGTCGTTCATCATATCCTGGGTCTTTAAACTATTATCCTCTAACACTAGAAACATGGTATATCTTGTTAAACCATGATATAACATTATACAACTTTTTCAAACTTTCTGGCTAGGCTTTTTCAAGCCAGTTTTATTGGAATTTTACTGTCTTGTTCATGACTGCTGATCATTCTGATTTCAGAACAAATATCAAGCCTACTTAAAAAGTTACAGCTGCTTAATAAACAAATACAAGAATGTTTTAAGTACTGCAAGTGTAAAACTGAACTTAATGATAGCAAAATATTATCTTAAAGGTCACTGAGACAATGTTATTTTTATATTTTAGACAGGACTTTCATTAAGTTTAATGAATGTTTATGTACACAGCAATGAATGCACATACTTCATTATTTAACAAACATGTATAGTCATAAGTTATATTAATACACATACAAATGCATAATTTCAAGTGTAGCTTTTTTGTTTCTTATGTCTATGATGTTTGTAACTTGAATTTAAGCGAATAATATAAAAT